GGAGGAGGAGGAGGAGGAGGGGGAGGAGGAGGAGGGACGAGGCAGAACAATCCCACCAGGGAGCTTCACTGCCAAGGGTTCAGGAAACCGGACGGCAACACCAGGGCCCCCCAGCCCCCACCCCAGGACCCAGAAGGGGTGAGCAGGGAGGGAAGCCAGTCCAGAGACCTCCTCCGTCCTGTCACCTGACACAAGGAAGACACCCCCCGTGGAGAGGGGTCCCTAAGGAAGTGGGGGGCTTACGGGCGTCATGGTTACGAGGGGAGACGGGCCCCGAGGACGCTTCAGGAGCTGCTGGGCGTGTAGCTGGATGTTGGCTCCCCCGTCGGAGGCCCTGCGCCCCAGCGGCCCCATCCCGTTCAGCAGCTGCAGCGTTGGCGGCTGCAGCAAAGACTGTTCCTGCAACGGAGCTTTCTCTCACTGCCCCCGCAAAGGCTGGGCAGGCCCGCTCTGTGCCCCCCCCCTCGCCCAGCAGCCGTGGCAGCTGCCAGCTGAGGCAGCCGCGGGAGGGAAGCTACCTTGTACTCCAACTGGCCGCTCGGCTGCAGGTGCTGCATGGGGAGCATGTTGGCTGCCATGTTGACGTTGGGGGCCACCTGCAGGAAGGGGCCCTGGGGGGCCATTCGCGGGAAGCCGGGGAGCAGCTTCTGCAGGTCCTCCATCACCTCAGTGCTGCCCAAAGGAAGAGGGACGCTGAGCCTTTGGGCCCCACGGCTGCTGGGGGGGGGGGGCTGAGAAGCACCCCCCCTCGCAGACCCGCCTGTTCCTCAGAAGGGACTGAAGCGGGGAGGGGGGGAGGGGTCAGCGGAGCTCACCGAGGATCAGCCACCCCGACGGTGTGTCTCCGCATGGAGAGGTAGCGGACCAGGGCTTCGGGAGACGGCTCTTCGCCTTCGTCGCTGTCCAGGTTCATGGTGCCATCCGTCTGCAAGGGGAAGAGCCGCAAAGGAGGAATGCAGGAGCCCCGGAAGAGAAAGGGGGCCCCCCAGGAGGATCCCTGGAAGGGGGGGGGGCTTACCTCCACTATCTGGTTGTCTGGGTTGATGAGCTGCACTTGTGGGACGCTGAGGCTCACTGGGGTGCCAGCAGCTTCCGCCTGTAAAGCAGACCCCCCCACAACTGCTGAATGCCCTGGATGATGAGCCCCCCCCCTCGCTCTGGCACCAAGAGCAGCCTTGCCCCAGGTTCCACATCTCCCCCTCCCCAAACGAGGTCCTCCGTCCCATAAGCCCCTCCAGCTGGGGGAGGGGAAAGGAATTCCCACAGGGAACCCTTCAAAGGGAGACCCCTCCATCCTGGCGCCCACCTTGCCTTCAGTAGCTGGGCCAGACAGGAGCCCTGCCCACCCCAGAGCTGGCAGGTACTCAGGCGGAGGGCAGGCAGGAGGCCCACGGAACCAGGCACGGCCGTCTGCCAGGCCAGAGCAAGAGAGCCATTCCCGGGTCACCGGGAGCTCCTGGGCAAAAGCCCCCAAGGGGCTGTGAGGCCAGGGCCGGGGAGCTGCCCAAGGCTGACCTGGAGACTGGCAGGCGCTGGGAAGGCCGGAGTCCGGGAGAGGCTGGGCAGGCCCGAAGTGCGCAGGGTCTTGTGCCTCTTCTGGCGGTCACAGAGGAGACTGTAGATGGCACTGTAGTGGTCGTAGGCCTCGGTCCTCAGCGACTGGGGGGGCACAGAAGCCACCGGTCACCCTTCCCTGCCCCCAGAGCCCGCCCAGAGGTCCCCCGAGGGCCAGTGGCCTGGGTTACCTGCAGGGTGCGCTCCTTATCCAGCCCCATCTCCGCCATGGCCAGCAGCACCTCCTCGTTCAGGGGCTCCAGCAGCCGCTCGGCTTTCAGCTGCTGACACTCGGCTATTAACTGGGAAGCAGAGAACTTTCTCAGGGCTGGGACCTCCTCAGTGGGAGGCGTCCCCCTCTCCCCCCCCCCCGGAAACTTCCCAGCCCCAAAGGGAGACCCAGCATGGAGCTGAGAGCTGAGAAAGTGGCCCCAGGGAGCCCACTGGCAGGAAGAAGCCCCTTCCCTCGCCCTCCCCCCTTGTGGGGAGCCTGCGGATGCGCCCCTGGCCCCGCCTTTGCCGAGCCCCCTTTACGGCTGGCCCAGTCGCCCAGCCCTCCCTGCCGGCTTTCCTGCCCAGAGGCCCTGCGGAGGCCAGTCAAACGGAGGCACTCACTGTGCTGAAGTCGGGGTCTGCTTCCCCCAGCTTCATCCACTTGTGCTTGCAGATCTGCTCCATGGAGAGCCGCCTGCTCGGCTCCAGCACCAGCATGTGGCGGATCAAATGCTCACACTCTGCAAGAGAGCGGCCAGATGGCAGCGGAGGACAGGCGCCACGGGGGTCCCTCCTCCTCTGCCCTCCATGCGATCCTCACAACATGAGTTGGTCCACACCTCGCTCTCCCCCTGCAGAGGGCAGCCCGTTTTCGGCCACAAGCGTCTGGGGCCCCCACTGCCTCATCCAGCAGACACACGGAAGCAGAAGCGCAGGCAGCCCCATCCAAGCCCCCCCCCCCAATGCTCCGTACCTGTTGACATGAAGAAGGGGATGCGGAACTTCCCGCTCAGGACCCTCGCCCGCAGGTTCTGCAGCGTGCTGCCATCGAAGGGCAGGGCCCCACACACCAGCACATAGAGCACCACCCCCAGGCTCTGCAAGAGAAGGGGCCCTGAGTGCCCTCGGTGGGGCAGCCGGGAGGGAGCCTGGCAGGGGAAGGCCAGGGAGACCCTCCCCCAAAAGGCCAAGGCAAAGGTTGCAGCTTTGAAGGCTGCCTTGCGGAGGAAGAAGAGGCCTCGGCCACCTACCCAGATGTCCACTTTGGGCCCATCGTACTCCTTCCCTTCAAAGAGCTCAGGGGCCGCATAAGGGGGGCTTCCGCACCAGGTCTTCAGCAGCTGACCAGGAGTGAAGATGTTACTGAATCCGAAATCTGGAGGAGGAGGAGGAGGAGGAAGGCCGGTGATTTCCCACCAGGCAGCCTGTTGCCTCACATCCTGCAGAGCCGTCATCTGGCAAGAAACGGGGCGCCTGCGTGTCCCCCGGATTCCACACAACCCTCCAGCAGAGCCCCTGAGGTCCCTCTCCCGACAGGAGCTGCTGATCCGGGCCCCACCGTCCCTCGGCCTCTGCTGGACTGAACTGGCCAGCGTAATACCGTTGAGTCTGCGGATCCTTCTAGGTCTCCCCTCTTCCTGCTGCAGCCAGGCTCAAGGATTAGGTGCCCCCGGAAGTGCAGCCATTCCATGCAAACTCCCCCCCCCACCGCCCGGCTGTCTCTATTGCGAGGACCGTCCAGCAGCCCCCCTCCTCCCTTTCTGAACTCTCTCTGCCTGCCTGTCCACGAAGCCCCCCCCCCTCTTTTGCCAGGAAATCTTTTGAAAGCCGGAGTTACAATGGGTCACCTGCTATTTTGATGTTCAGATTTGCATCCAGAAGCAAATTCTCGGCCTTCAGGTCTCTGTGGACAATATGGTGGCAGTGGCAGAAGTGCACGGCTGCTACTATCTGCTTAAACTTCTTCCGAGCCTCTTTCTCCGCCATCCGTCCGTGAGCCACCAGGTGATCTGAAGGAGAGGGGGGGGGGTGAAGCTGGTTAGGTGTCTATTCTGGGTGAATGATGGGACATGGGGAGGGGCCTGGGGGGGGGAATGGATGGGGCCACCTGTGGAAGGAGGCGCGGTGGGACGGCCAGCTAAAACTGCTGGTGGGGTAAAGGTTCAGCACTTTTCCTCCCAAATCACCCCCCCAGCCTCCCCCCCCCCAGTGAAAAGAGCCCCTGGCCTTCCTGGCTGGGACCAAAACGAGCTGAACCTTCATATGGGGGATGGGGGGGAGAGACACACATGCAAAGCCCCCCCTTCTGCATCTGAGCCTCTTTCTCCGGACGCAGGTGGAGGGATTCTGCTAACAAAGCAGCCTACAATCCTCCGGCCTGCCAGGCTCCCCCAGAGAGGCTGGGCTGCTTTGGAGAGCAATCAGGCCTCTGCCCAGGCCGAGAGGCCCCCATGCCTCCTACGCCCAGCACCACAGCCCCCTTTCCCTCCCAGAAGCCCTTCTTTTGGTCGAATGAGGCAAACGAGGCACTTACCAAATATCTCCCCTCCGCTTGCATACTCCGTGACCAGGTAGATCATTCTCTCCGTCTCCATGACCTGCACAAGGGCAGAGAACAGGCTCAGAACAAAACACCCTCCGCCAATCTGGCCTCTTCTGGGGGGGGGGGGTTCCCCCAGGGGAGAAGTGCCAAAGGCTCCACAGACGGNCCCCCCCCCAACAGAACAGGAGCCTCTTGGACAGAAGAATCCGATCGCTCCTCTTTGCTTGGCCAGAGCAACTAGTGGCAGCCAGAAGCAGCCCCTCCCCCTCCTCTGGACTCCAAGCCAGGTCTGGGGAGGGAGGGGGGGGCTCTGGCTTCAGGGCCTTTCCGGCCCCCTCCTGAGCCCCCAAGGACAGGGAGGAGAGGCGCTCCTGTGCCCCCCGCCCCAGATGCCATCTTCCCAAGAGAGGGGAAAAGCACCTGGCATTGTCAGCAGCTGCCCCTTCTCTCTGCTGATCCGGACCACAAGGATCCGCACCTTTGCCCAGCTGAAGCCCTTAGGTGAAGCCAGCCCTCAGCCCTCCCTTTGCAACCGAGGGAACCCTTGAGATGCCCCTGGCCGGGGGCTCCCTTTGAGGACTCCTGGGAAAGAGCAGCCCTGGCTGCCAGCTGCCCCCTTGGGCAGATGTCCAGGGCCAGCCCCATTCGGCCCCTGGCCTAGGCCTCCCGGAAGGGGTTCTCCTCCGGTGGCCCCGTGGGTGGCAGGAGGGAAGCGTGCTTGGCGCTGGCTTTGGGCTCCTTGCCTTGCAAGCCTTCCGGCCTTGGGCCCACCGTGGAGGAGGCCGTGTGGATCTGAGGGACAGGCATCATTTGGAGAAGAAGCTCTTGGATGGAGGAGGAGGAGGGAGAAAGGAGGCAAAGCCCACCCAGGGTCCCCCCTCCGGTCACCTCCATGAGGTCAGAGGGGGGAGAGGGGCCTCAGGGGAAGCCAGCTCCTTCCCCAGGCCAGACACCCCCCGCCCCATACCACCTCCAGGGCCCTGCGGGGAAGGAGGAGGAAGCGCCCCCCCCCCTTTCCCTTCGCCTCTCCTGAACAAGGCTGGACCAGCAACCTCCACAGCAAGGGCCTCTCGGGGCAGAGATGTCTCCTGCCCACCCCTCACCCCCTTGGCAGGTTTGAAGCCTCTGGCCGTCTCTGCAAGTGCCTGGGAGCCTTGCATGCCAGAATGATGGTCTCCCCCCAAGCCCCCCCTCCTGTTCTGCAGCAATGCAAGGGCTGGGGCTGGGTGGGGGGGGGAAGGAGCTCCCACAAAGGCTTTCCAAGGGTCCTTCTGGGACCAGGCAGAGCGGAGGGAGGGAGGGGGGAGACAGAGCAGCTCCAGCCAGCAGCCCAGCTGAGTCACCGAAGGGGCGGACTCTGATCTCTGCCCTTTGGATGGGCTTCCAGCGTGGCAGCCGTGTGGCCCCAGCCGGCTCAGAGTCCACCTGCCCCTCCGGTGACATCATGCTCTGCCCGGAGAGACCACCAGCTCCCCTCCAGGCGAGGGGGAGGGGCTCAGCGGGGCCAATGAAGAGGAGTGGGAGGGAGGGAGCAGAGCCCCTCCTGCTGGCCTTCCCAGGGAGCGAAAGGAGCCTCCCACTCTCTCCGGCAACAACCTCCCAGGCTGAGAAGTCCAACGGTCAGCGCTGCTCCCTCCCTCCCCCCCCCCCCGGAATCTCAGCCTGGAGGGACTGCAGGCCTCGACTGCTCCGGGGCCGATCCCCTGGGGGAGCTGTTGACGCGGGCAAGGTCCAGAGGGGGAGGCAGCCTCTGTGTCAGCACAAACACAGGCGGTTGGGAGCTCCGGCCACGTCCCTCCGCCCGGATCACAAATCAGTCTATCCAGCTGCTGATGCTGATGCTGAGGCGGCGGTTTCCCAGCTCCACCCTGGAGCCACCGAG